CAAATAGGTTGTAGATGTGTATTATGTCAAATAAGTATTAAATCACAGTTTTGATGTTTTTTACTAAACCATTGTCTCGATCATCAGCAATTATCAAAAATCACCTTTTTTTATATGTTTGTCATGTAAAATTTTGATATTTTCTATTGCAACCTTAAACTGACTAGATTTAAAATAATCAAATATACAGAAAGCTCTGTTAATTTCTTTATGTGTCCATCGGCTCCATCCTATGTCAAGGGCCTATGATTTTAGTATTTTTTTATTGATTGAGGTCCTTCATATTTGTTTTTAGTAAATTGTATTGTTACTTATTAATCCGTTAGTTTTTTTGTTCCACATTTTTCATATCAGGGCCTTTTATAGCTTACTATATGATATGAGTTTTTCTCATTGTTGACGACCATATGGTGACCTATAATTGTTCAATCGCAAAAAATACCACATCTCTTATATTAAATAAGACAGCAAACTTAAATCAATACAACTGTACTGAAATTGAATTTATATGAAATGCTTTAGTCAACAATGGCAATATGTAGACAGGAATAAAAAGTTAATATACACTAGATTCATATATATAATATATAGAGGTACTAATAACCATGTAATACATTTTAGTTGCTGCTGTGAAATTCAGCATTGAGGCAATGACATTTTGAGATTTTTGGTTTTCAGTCATTCATATGATATATAATTATTGCCTCTGTGTTGAGTTGACACATTGTTAATTATAGGTCAATCTTAAAGAATCATACCAAATTCCGAAATTGGATGTCAAGGTCAATATGATGCTTCTGCGTACAAATTTTTGTCAATTAACGTGCTACAATTCAAAACGTATGCACCAAACACAAACCAGACACTTTTTAACTATCATAGGGGTCAAATGAGAAAGGTCAGAATGATCTGACTTTGGTACATGTATGTGATACACCCCAAGCCTAAAAATGCAACAGATAAACTGCATACCATGCAGACTGCATATAATGCAGTTACTCGCTAGGTAAGGTTAACAAAAATTTTATGGTTCAAAAGATATGACCCAGACACGAATTGTACAAGGTTTTACTATCATACATGTACGTAGGTATCAAAGGACAAAGTCAAGGTCAAAGTGATCAGACTTTGGGATATGACACGTCCAAAGATTATGATGCAACTGCCTAATGAGTTTGATAACCCAAAGTTTAATGCACACACTTTTTGAAACGGGCAAAAATTGGATAAAGTCAACTGTCATAATCATTTCAGATTCTATGATTTAACCTTTCTTTGAGTACTTAGAGAAAATTTAAGTATAGTGTTTTATTCAAGCCTCCATCTGTTTTATTAGTATGCAATGTCTTAGGCAGAGATATAAAAAATTATTTGCTATACATATTTATAACGTGATAAATAAACAAACAAACAATAACCAAAGTTATGCATTGGTTTTTAAACACTTTAAAATATATAAGTTAAAGCACTGTCTATATTATATGGACAAATGTTATTTTATCATTTCTACAGCACTTGTCTTGGTACACATGGTTATTCTAAGACGTGGAAGTTGACTTGGCTGCTTTTAATACACCTGACTGTACTAAAGAAAGGTCCTTATATCCGCATTGGAATGTGAAATAGCTAGTATTTCTTTGTTGAATTGAAAGTTTTTAGATGTTTGTTTGCATCAAAACCTTCCGATCGATGTTTTGACAAAAACAATGCACTTTTCTATCAAAGCCGGTATTTACCTTTACTCATCCTTGGCGTGTGACATAGACAGAACTAAGCCATATGATTATCGAGTATTTAATATACTGTCACTTGTTTATTGTTCAATCAAACTATTACCTTCTATGTTAATTAGCCACCGGCCAGGTCAAAATATAAACATGTTGCGTAACCAGTAAATCAATGTCATTTCCGGATACTTTTGATACACTCGGGCTTTTACGTATCTAATAATAAAATTTGTAAATCTCGTATTAAAAAATGGCGCCGGAAAATGTTCATTCATGAAATATTTTATACACGGGATTTTTTCTCTCTTTTCAACCGGAGAACGGGAGGAGACCGAGATTATTGTTCTCGGCCCAGGAGGTTTACATGTATGGATCTCATGTATGTCTGGGGAATCCCGTAGGAAAGCATACAGGTAACATAAACATACAAAATGGCTGACAGTTCAAAGTATGCATAATTTATAGAGGTCAAACCTAATACCATTTACAAACGTAAAGATTGAAAAGATAACGATATTCTTAACAATAAGAATTCTTGTATTTCATGAATAAATGTAAAAAAACAACAACAACCACCTCGAAATAAATATCAGTTCCTCTAAATTTTCTATGAATTAAACGTAGAAACTGCTGTCTCGTGTAGATTAGTATTGATTTTATCTTCCGCGCAGGGCAGATCCGCGAAGTAGTGTTTGTGATACCCATTTTCAAAATGAAGTTGAATTCATTTGAATTGTCGGTGAACATTTAGTCCATTTTTATTCAACCTGTAAGCTAATCAAAAAAGTAATAACTCAAAATTTCAAAAGCATCTTCCTAGAATTAGTATTCAAACACTAGTACTACACTATCTAGTAGAAGTCTAGCAAGATAGTCTGTCCAACTTCCGGTTTGGGGCCGATGCCATAGGAAAGTATATTGCTATAGCAAGCTAAAGCACACTTTCCAAAAATCAGTTGAAAAAGGCTTAACTCAATAGATGGATACAAATAGAAATAAATCTAACAAAAACACAGAGTGGACGTGGACAGGTACTTGAAAATCCCAACAACAAAAAGACACTAAGTACAGATCTGAGAGTACTCACAGTTACTGACAGCTAGTTCAAATCCAATAGCAAATAATAAAAAAAATCATGCATTTAAGACTAAATTATCAATCAGAACACATCCAACATCTTTTTTGTTTTAGAGTTTTTCAAAACGTTTTTAAAATTAGGGATTCAAACATACACATGATTCTCAATTAATTTTGTTGTGCATTAATAGAAGCTGGTGGTCAGTGGTTCCTTCGAGAGAAAGCTTTCGGGTATTTTTATGCTGGAATCGAAGAAAATATCAATACAGATGACGATTTAAGCTCAACCTTAGTCTACAAATTATAATCATCCAAAATCAAATTCAATATTATTCAGTTTTTTTTTCCCAGAATGCCTCAAGGGATTGTACTGAAGTTGAAAGATTCATCAATTGGGGTAAGACCATAACTGGATGGAGATATAGATGCGAAAGAAAGAATATTTGTACTGCTACCCTTAAACTTCTCAATGGAAATTTTAGGGATCAACAGTTTCAAAACTGTTGCAATTAACATTAAATTTCAATAAAACTTTCAACTAGCTTTCCTGACAATAGAAATTTAGAATGAAGAATATCAACACTGTTTATAATAATCGATATAGACTAAATTTCGATATCACTTTCAAGTAACCTACAAATATTCCCACAAGCTTGTTAGTTGAAATCTTTAAGAATGAAAAACTGTTGCAGTTGAAATATACATTAATACATTATAAATGCAATACTTCTTAGTTTGATTATTTTTTTTAAAGTAATAGCATAATTGTCTTTTGTCTTGTTTTTGTTTAAGTTGTTTATTACATAGCTTATTACAGCTGGATTCTTGTCTTTATTTATTACATAGCTTATAATAGCTGGATATAATAAAATATGTATATTAAAAGATATTACTTTCTCCCCTTTTTATATGGTAAATATGTCTATATAAAAAAAAGAAGATGTGATACAAACACGATTGATAATGAGACAACTCTCCACCAGAGACAAAACGACATATTGTTAGCAACTATATGTCACCGAACAACCTTTAACAATGAGCAAAACTCATACAGCATAGTGTTCATATGGTCATTATTTTCTCAAATACTACCTTTATTAATAGAATTTGGTTTGCGCGTTTTTAGTTTGATGCCAGAATGGAACATGAAATTTGCCTTACAAAATGACTATCAAAGATAGACAACATTGGCGATTGTATGACCTTTAAAAGAAAGAAAAAACTGTAAATTCTACAGATCCTGTTACACTCAGCTGTCGGATGGTCTGTTTGATTTCATGTTATTGGTCACAAATATTTGTAACTTATTGTTTTACCTAGATACGAACGATTTTTTGTGGGTCGGATCAGTCAACGAAATGGTTATTCCTAGTCTGTGACTCTTCCTTATTTCACTTTTTAAACTTTTCTTTTTAATGAATAAACATCCTGACCACAGCATACCACCACGTGCTGAATACATGCGCATAAATCTAAAACTAAAGGTTGCATGAAAAAGGATTTAAATGGGGTTTTTTTTTTTTAAACTTAATTTGACGAATTTTAAACAAACTGACTACTAACGTCGAAATATTATCTCTTTATTCCGATTTTATAAATGTTTGCAAAACAAATCGTAATCAACTTTTTTTTTGTCAAATTGGTAGCTAGTGCCCCTTTAACAGTTGTAAGAGTTCTCAGTCAGTTTTGTCGTCATTGAAATGTGGTTTTCTATAACATTTTAAATATCTGCATTACAAGTAGTAGATTTGAAAGTACCAAAATATGACTGTGCCTTAGCTTTGGGTATTTCAATATAGTGCTGAAAGATTTACAATAAAAAAGAAAAAGATTTGCAGATGATTTATGACATTTCATTTCTTGCGAATTTTAGAAGGTGGGCGATAATTCCGTACCTTTAAAAACAGATTGTCGACGTTGTTGATTAATTAACTAAGGCCAGGTAAACAAAACTCTATGTACTTTTTAGAGAATAAAAAACAATGAAGTATAACCAAAAATGATGTTTACATTGAATATTTCACCTTTCCAGTCTCAGATTTGCATTTGTTTCTATTCAAAGTACTTTATTGAAAATAAATATAAGAACTTGTTTTTAACAATATAATTTCTAACGAAGCATCGATTTTTCAACGTGTTATTGAAAATCTGATCCAAGTACGAAATATGATCCCTTTCTACTTCGAACATCTGCAAATAAAATATTGAACCATTTATAGCAACAGCTTACTGATTGTTTCAAGTGGAGTCGGAAAAGTGGTAAGTTTTTCTACAAGAATAGAATAATTTATTCATTGTGCTGGGTTTACGTCCAGTGACAAAAATTTCATGCATAGTTAGGACGAGAACAAATTAAGAATTAAAACATGCAACATTTTGCTTTTGTAAATTTGTTAGGCCGGAAGGAAGTGAGGGAAGGTTAAGGTGGCTGGGGTGTCTTCCTCCATGTTGGATTTTGAAGTAGCAGATAACAATTGGTCTAGATCTTTAATGAAATATGCAAATTTTGAGAGTAGTATGTAATTCATGTGTAAGACTTTTCTTGTTAATATAAAAAAATATGTGCTTTATCATATTTACGGCTGTATTTTCTACAAAACACAATATTTTGTTTGATTCATTTTGTTTCAATTTTGCAACATAAGGGGAGATAACTCAGATAGCAGGGGAGATAACTCAGATCAAGTAATTTTTATAATAGAAAGTGTTTTGAATTTACCTTTTTTAATATGTAGCAAGAAAACAAGTCCGGTGACCCCATTTTTTCCTTTTCTTATCTAAAAGCATGTTATTAGAGCTATTTCATCACATTCTATCTTTAAATTCTAAGGTGTAGTTTTAAGGAAAACTCATATAATAATGTTACTTGTGTAAATCATAATACTTAAGACAGTTACAATGTATTTGGTTTTACAAGCAAACGATGTTTTAAATATTATATTTGATTGGCTAATTTCATTTTAAATAGCTATTAATAATATTGTATATACGTGGGTTGATTGGTTTTTGCTTTACACTACATCAACGCAAAGGACTTTAACGTAGCGAGAACACAAAAATGGCTGTATGCAGTTGGATCGTTTAATTACAGGTGGAAATATACTTTAACTATCTTGCCAAGTTTTTAAAACAAATAGCACCAGGGTTTCTGTTTAAACAAACAAACAAACACACATAGTCATCCCTCTGGACACAAACTTACAATCTTTTCAAAAACCTGTCAGTGACCATGCAACCAACATTGAAAAACACACACACACAATAAATTACTGTTTTACATGAAGTTTTTTAATATTCAAAAACAAAAGCAATAATTCGTGGTGATTTCACTCTGTACGGTTTAAAAATCAAGTGGTACTTATCTTTAATTCTTTAGTGTTTTTAAATTTCATTTCAGGAAATTTAAAAGATGAATTCTTTCAACTTGGTAACGTATTTCCCTTTATTTTCACGAACGTGATAATATTCATTTACAATCATATGGTCATCATGATTTAATGCATACATGTCTTCAATATATATCATTAATGTTTTATTGAAAAAATATTGAGATTATGGTGTTCTTACCAAAGTCTATACAACGGTCTGTGATTACGTTTTTTTTAACAGTTGCTAGTATCATGCAGTGTTTCTTACAATTTGAGGTCACTAGGCTCGCGGGAACCTTCAATATGTTTTTCCGTGATTGTATGAAATTTCCCCTGGTAATGAAAGTTATCTGAGTAATCAAGGATTTGTTTGGTATATAAATCCTTGGAGTAATTGAACAATTGGCAGATTTAAGATAAAAAAAAAACCCCTCTTTCATGTGTAAGAGATCATGTCTTGACTAAATCAAGGAAGAAAATATTGATGGACATGTCGGAAAAACAACGTTACGATAAAGGGCTAACCCAAGGTAAGACGATTTCGAGTAAAATTCGTAAAAGATTCTTATCGCATTTTCCCCTATAGTGAACTATGACATACGAAGACGTTATTGGACGTAACAAATTGGAGAGTTCGAGCTATGAATACTGATCATTGCAGCAAATTTGTTTAAGGGGTCGGTTGATATGCCTTATGCAGTAGAACCAAGTTCTTTTCTAATCCTATATAACATCTCTATTTTCAAAAACATCGAAAATTATATGCACTATGATATTTAATTATAATGTATTTATACCATATCCCTGTCGAAACAAACTGTTTGAATCGATCCAATTTCCTTTAGAGATGGTATGATATTTATAGGTTTCATAACGAGTGAGAATTGGATATCGCTTTATATTAATTTTGACTAGTTATTTGATCTCAATATAATAATATTGTTACAATTTAAATCAAATATTAAGAGTGGATGTCGAGCGATATCAAATTTTACGAGTTGTTCAACCCATTTCTCTTATGGTAAACCTTCTCGTTGTGGCAAATAAAAAATCCGCGAATCGTTGATCTAATCTTTTGAACATACCATCAGGCATTTTAAAACTTTTGTATGCTTCAGAATGTAATAAAATTTGACAAAAAGAAGATTTTCAGTGAAATATGTGAATGTTTTGTATGTTTTTGAAGAAATCTCCGTTGCTATGGATGAAATGTATATCGTCGTAACCTTTGAAATTCATCAATGACCTAACGAATAGCCAATGGAAATGTCGCAATGTCGTCCCCATGATGCTTGATAAGACAAATGAACGCATTTTTCGTAACACTTTTTGGTATCATACTCCGTGCAATGAGATACGAGAAATCATGTCTCTTCATGCGAGAAATAGATAACAGGTCACAACCAATAGATATTGATAAATTAACCAGTTCAACCATTCATATACTTTTTGTTAATATTGCAGACTCAGACTGGATCTGATATTAGTCAATATTTTTGTAGGAATTGGTAGCAATTCTTGTTCTTTCAATATCTTTATTGCATGCAACTGAAGGACAGCCAGCTCCTCGTGTTACAAGATTAGAAATCATAAGTCATTCATGCAATGGAAGAAATCCTGTCTTTTATTATGTCCAGAAGGGATATGCAACGCATACATCAAAAGCTTGGGATGGTTCTGTAAGTACATTAAGTACTAATATATAGATGAAAACAAAAGAAGATATTAGTGAACGTAAATGAGACCGCAATCATACGACGACTCAAAATATAATGACATCTGCAAGTCAGCATATGGTCTAAAACAATACACACGTATTTCAAAATATAAATCGTCCATGCACGAATCTAAACATTTGCGAATAAATATGATAGAGAATATCAAATATCTGTCATCAACATTAATATAATTTCTCGTTTGAATTGTTTCACAATTTTCATGTCAGGGCCTTTTATTGCTGACTATACGGGATGTGGTTTCTCATTGTTAAAGGCCGTATGATGACTTATAAATGCTAACCATCCCCGTCATTTGAACTTTAGTTGTCTCATTGGCAATCATACAACAGCTTCGTATTCTTATACTCTCACATGATGACATATAAAGGATCAGACTAAAGCTGACCACTAACAAGGTTCATGACTTCATGAATAGTTGGTGGATATAAACATGTTTTGACATTTTCCCCTTTTGGATCTCGTGCAGCGGCATGAGAAAAATATACAGAATAACGTACAATAAAGATCGGCTCAGAAAAAAATACTTCATATTGATAATACAGGTATTAAAGACAACGACAAAAAATAGGTGAAAGAGAAAGTTCCATATCCAAGAATGCTCACAGTTGCTGAAAGTATGATAAAAGTACTTACTTAATCTGCTATTATGAAATCATGCCGTCATTAGATCTAATATCAGCGACTTTACTTTGAACTAGATTTCATATATTCATTTTTAAAATGATATGGAACATAATTTGTACGGAGACTGCCAGCATAGAATTGAAATGTAGCATGTTTTGTCTTTTTTATATCGTTTTTATTTATTCTTAAGTTATCTGATCTGTTTGTTTCATAGTTTTTTTTTAAGTTATCTAATTGTTTTTAAAACATACATGCGATTCTTGATTAATTTCGTTGTGCATTTACAAAACAAATTTTGCAGGAGCCGATTGTCAGTGGTTCGTTGAGTAAAAGCTTGGGGTATTTTTTATGCTGGAACTGAATAAAAGATCAAACAGTGTAATAAAAATCTTAATCTACAAATCATAATCATCCTAAATCACATTCAATATTATACATTGTTTTTTCAGAGTGCCTCACGGGATTGTAATTGGGTTCATATATACACTAATTGGAGAAGGATAGTTACTGGATGGATATCTAAATGCGAAAACAGGAATATCTGTTCTACTACTCTCAAACTCAGCAATGGAAGGTTATGGGATCGACAGTTTCAAGACTGTTGCAATGTACGCTAAAATCAAATAGCTTTCCTTCCAATTGAAATTTCGGATGAAGAATGTAAACTCTGTTTAAAATAATACATACATATACACTAAAGTTCAATGTCACTTTCAAATACCTACAAATGTTTTCTTAAATTTGTTAGTTGAAATTTAAAGGATGAAAAACTGTTGCAACTGTCATATGCATAATAAATGCAATACTTCTTAGCTTGAATATCTTTTTTAAGTTTAAACAAAATCCTACTTTGTTTTGTTTTCTGTTAAAGTATGTCTTACACGGACACGGTTTCCTCTGCCTCTTTTTTTAGACTTATAACTCGAATTTGACATAAGAGGTCATCTCAGTACCAGAGTCTATGACAAACGAGACGATTTTGATTTTGAAATTATCAATCCCCCCCCCCCTCCACTTTAGTAGCAATATACTAACCTCGCCTGCATATGGGATATACATTTCCCAATTCATTCGGTATTCAAGAGCTTGCATCTGCTACTCAGAATTTGTAAAACATCACCAGTGTCTGATCAGAAAGTTGATGAACCAGGGTTATATCAAAGAACGTCTCGTCCTTTTTCTGAAAAAGCTCATTTGAGGATACCAAGACCTTGTTGATAAATATTCCGTATCAACTTCACAAATAATACAGGATGGTCTTAAAGTTTAGATTCTAGGTACTGACGTTGTTTATCATCTTAATTACGTGTTATAGTGTTCTTTTATTTGTCATTGTAAAGTATTACTTTTACTGTTTAGTCTATTTGACGTGGCTCGGTACTTATACATCCCGTTATTGTATTATTATGCTATGGTAAAAAAGTTTTGTATTTTTGCCTTTCGTTTTTGCTAATATGCTGTGTCTAAATGCCTTTTTGTTTTACTTTTTTGGCATATTTGTTTGTTTTAATATAGATTAAGATTATAACACAATGTTGACTGCTGTACCCCTAATTTTGACATTAATATCTATTATGTCTGTTTGTCTTGTTCACACATTGTTGACAATATAATGAAGTTTTTATGCGACTGTCATACAAGTGAGAGGTTAAGCTAGCTATAAAACCAGGTTTAATCCACCATTTTCTACATAGAAAATGCCTGTACCAAGTCAGGAATATGACAGTTGTTATCCATTCGTTTGATGTGTTTGAGCTTTTGATTTTGCCATTTGATTAGGGACTTTCCGTTTTGAATTTTCGGAGTTCGGTATTTTTGTTATTTTACTTTTTATTTGTTTTATTACAGAGCAAAAATTATCTTTATAAGCTGGATATAATAATAATGATAATAAAAAATCGGGGTTACAGAAGAAAAGACATTGATAAAGCCTCTGACCTGTGTTAGTCTTGTATGTTTTTTTTTAATTTTAGTTTCATTAATATCATGAATATGTTTCGGAGTTTAGTGTGACGTCCATTTTCACAGAACCATTACACATTTGTGTTTTGGGGCCAGCTGAATCCCGCCTCCGGGTGCATGATTTTCTCACTGTGTTGAAGACCCATTGGTGGCCTTGGGCTGTTTGGTCGGGTAGTTGTCTCTTTGACACATTCCCCATTTCCATTCTCAATTGTATTCTCTTGTGTTAACAACAAAAGCCGAGATGAACTTTTACGATATAAAGACAAGAAGGTCAACAAAAGAGTGCCATTTGTGCTGACTAAACATCCCAAATTTGACAGTTATCGCACCTTATCCGCGAAAACTGGAAAGAATCGAAAAACATCCTAAACTATCCAATATTATTCACCTGTACTGGCTTTCCTTTGGCCCAAAAGCCTCAAAGACTTTCTGGTAAGAGCTGACTTATCCTGTAAATCACACTCGTCGTCTGTGTGTTCTTGCAAGGGATGCAGAAATGCAGAAACCAACGATGTCTGACTTCAAGCAAACACTGAATACCCAGACTTTTAACAGTCATTCCACTAGTACGGAATACACAATTTTTTGCAATGTTTATTGCAAGACTACAAATGCTGTGTATCTTCTACAGTGTAAATGTGGTAAACAGTATGTGGGCGAGTCAGAACAGCCATTTCACAATCGCATGAACGGCCATCGTAGCGACTTTGAATGCAACCCAGACCTTCCTCTCAGTCGACATTTGAGATCCCCTAGCCACACTAGGGCAGAACTCAATCGACTAACCATTACAATCATAGACCACAACAATGCTTGGTCTAGGGAGGATAGACTCACTCGGGACAGGTTTGGATAAGAAAATTAAAAACTTTGGCACCAAATGGGATCAATGAAAAGATGTTGTTCTAATTCGTGCAGTGCTTTTCATTTTGGGTTATATTAGATATTACTACGCAGTCTCTGATGCAATTCCTTTACCTTTGTCAACTCTGAAATTCTAGAAATATACCAATTTAAATCGCAGGCTGCTATTCATTTGTTATAGTTAAATACGCAGCCACGGTAAATTAATTAACCTTCGTCAATTTATTTTTAAATTATCAAACTGCTATTTATTTTGGGATGTATAAATACGCAGCCTCTGTTGTAATTACTTTACCTTCGTCATATTTGAAATTGGTGTATTATACCAGCTCAAATCGGTCAGTGCTATTCATTGGGATTGTATTTCTATGCAGTCTTTGTTGTAATAACTCAACTTTCTTCGCCTTTGAAATTTTATAAATATACCAGTTTATATCGCACATTACTATTTTTGTTAGAAGCATAGCTATGCAGTCTCTGTTGTAAATACCCAATCTACTATGGATGGGAATATCCACCATAATTATTCATTTCTTAATTTGTAAAATGCAATTTCTTAGTTTGTAACATGCAATTTCTTAATTTGTAAAATGTAATTTCTTAATTTGTAACATGTATTTTCTACATCCGTTACATGAATTTCTACATTTCTTGATTTGTGAAATTTTACTTCTGAATGTGAAAATGCAATTTCTTAAATTTCAAGTCAAAAATAAACAAGTTACAAATCAAGAAGTTTTACAAATCAAGAATGAAATAGTGCCACAATATTCCACACGATGTCGCTGTGGATCTATGTCAAATCGTACCTTAGCCAACTCGTACCAAATGTTTACCAACTCGTACTTCTACCAATTCGTACCAAATATTTACAAACTCGTACTTCTACCAACTCTTACCCACTATTTTATTATTTATACGCAATAACATTTGCGTGTTCTCTTGTATAGTATACAAAATACAATAAAGTAATAAAGTACAACTTTATTTATTGGTATTCTGATGCAATTTGTTTTCAAATCAGAAATATTTAAAGTAAAGTCATTCGTCTTTAAAAGTAAACAATTTTATGAAATTGTTTGAACGATAACAATATTATTTTGAAACTCCCTATTTGTTTTACAGCAAATGATTTTGTATGGGGACATATGGTTGGAACCGCCCCCTTTTTATATGACTTGTATGTGTTGGTCCTCTTTTAAAAATGGCTGGATCCGGGCCTGATTGGGGGATAATAGGCTCGGACCTACAAAAATAGAATCGGTTGTTCAGATGAAAAAGAAACATAGAAGGGTTTATGAAAACACAGATTTCGGAATAAATGCTGCACCAAAGTCCGTTGAGTTTTACTTGTTAACTTTGTAAAGGCCAAGCTTGGCGTATCTGTTATAGTATCTAAATAACTGAATATGTAAAAACATTTGGACTATGTTTAATTCCTCTGCAGGCTTTATTGCTTCAAAAAGATTAGAAAGGACTTCATACATAAACTAACTAGCAGATCTTCTTGAACACATGTTCAACGTAAAAATCAGTAAAACATATCCTTCTCCCTTATTCTATGGAGCTTTTTTTTACTGATTTTTGCGTTGAACATGACTGTTCAAGAAGATCTGCTAGTTAGTTTATGTATGAAGGAATTTTGAATCATTTTGAAGCGATAAAGGCAGCACAGAAATTAAGAATAGTCCAAAAATATAGATATAATCGTCTGGTAGGTTTAAATTATCTAAGGCAGTAAACATCAACAAAAAATACAGATATATGTCCAAGCAAAATGTCAATGAAATCCGGAGACAGCAGTCTTTTCTTCAGCCCACAAAAATTTAAGAAACAAAATTTTAAGCAATCGTTGTTCAATTTATATTCACTATTTACAGTTCCATTGCTGGTCGATTTCTTTTTAGATATAGGCCTCTTTCACCAACCCCCTATCTGCCAGAAGTCGTGGAACATTTGCGTTCGGTGGACGAGGGGACAGACCCTGCCGCTGTCTTTTGCTAGTGGGGTCGCACTAGAGTAAGACCCTTTTGTGGTCGGGTCATGATTTCTTGACGAAGAGCTGGTACGCTCTGTTCTAAATTCGTCTAATATAGTGCCATGAATATAGAGCTGAAAGTCTAAGACGAATGATTAACTTTAAATATTTCTGATTTGAAAACAAATTGCATCAGATTACCAATCAATAAAGTTGTACTTTATTGTATTTATATGTTTCTATATTATATAAAAGAACATAGCAACTTGAATGCATATAAATAATAAAATATTAGGTACGAGTTGGTAGAAATATTTGTTGAGTACGAGTTGGCGAAGGTACGAGTTGACATGGATCAACAGCGACCTCGTGTGGAATATTGTGGAACTATTTAATTCTTGATTTGTAAAACTTCTTGATATATAAAACTTCTTGATATGTAACTTGTTGATTTTTAACTTATAGTTTTTCTTGAGAAACGGAACTGGCAGCGGTAAAAATTACACTGACAAATTCTCCCAAAACGTGACTCAAACCAGGAACATATACTCCCAGCTCAAACAAAAATTACATTTCACAAATTACGAAATGTAGAGTTTCATGTAACGAACGAAGAAAATACGTTAACAATTTATGAAATTGAATTTACACATTAAGAAGTTACATTTCACAAATCAAGAAATGTAGAAATTCATATACCGGATGTAGAAAATATATGTTACAAATTAAGAAATTACATTTTACAAATTAAGAAATTGCATTTTACAAATTAGGAAATTGCATTTAACAAATTAAAAAATGAATAATTATGGCGGATATTCCCTTCCATAATCTACGTCATTTCTGAAATTTCAGAATTGTACAAGCGTTGTTCGGTTTTAATTGTATAAATTAAAAGATTGTTATACTTAAATCAGAACAGATTGATATGATTCATTTTACATCATAATCATATACTGATGAAGGATATCTGTTATCCGAAATATTTATAGATACTTACATTCAATGTTTTGTTTTTTAGATATTGGTGTTGTTTGGTACATTTTTTAGGCGTTTATATATTTTTTATGTGGTAGTCAAACTGAAATAATAATCTTGATCATTATACAAATTATCACGAATCAATACGCTGGTAAATTTGTCAATTTGATGTTTGGGGAGGAATGAATTCTATAAAACTGTGAGAGTCCTGTACTGAATAGATATAAGAAGATGTGGTATGAGTGCCAACTCTCCATCCAAGTCAAAATTTATAAAAGTAAACCATCATAGGTCAACGTACGGTCTTCAACACGGAGCCTTTGCTCACACCGCACAGCAAGCTATCAAGGGCCCAACAAATTACTAATGTAAAACCATCCAAACGGGAAAACCAACGGTCTAATCTATATAAAAAAACGAGAAACAAGAAACACTTATGAACCACATCAACAAACGACAACTACTGAACATCAGATTCCTAAATTAAGACAGGTGCAAACAATTGCAGCAGGTTTAAACGTTTTAATGGTACCAAACCTTCACACTTATCTGAAACATTAGTGTAACATCACAACATAGAAAGACACACTGTAAAATATCAATTGAAATGGCTTAACTATATCAAAAGACATATTAACACCAGTGAACATACACTGAACAAATAAATTTGATCTATAATACAAAGAAATACAAAATAAATAAGCTAAGGGAAAGATTATTAAAGTAACATATTATACCGCTGTGAAATGTTAAACAATTTAAGAAAAACAATATGCTTGAACAAAAATATCAGCCATTTGCAATTATTTTAAACACAGGTAAATGAAAATATTTTGTTGTTAGGTATACGTGTACAGTTCAAATGGAGAAAGGAAATATTTTTACAAAATAAACAATTTTGATGTTCAAAGTACGAAGAAGTGAAAATTTATAGTAATACCAAACACTTATCAAAGCTGGTATATAGACCAGGTATAACCCTGAATAAGTAAACATTAAATAAAAAAAAGCATTACAATTATTATCAACAGGTCAAATAAACAAGAAAGTACGATTTGAGAGTACTCGCAGTTACTGACAGCTAGTTAAAAGCCAAAAACAATTAATAATAAAAAAATATGCATCAGAAACTTAAATCAACTAAAACACATCCCAGAGATTTAGTATTTTAACGTGAGGACAGTAAAAGAAGACATGACTTGTGCAATGCCAAAAATAAATGTATCGACAGGCAGTAGGATAGTTAGAAGTTAACCTCTTTTTAGATCAAAATGAACGTGGCGTGTCTTTATACATCCCGTTTAAAAAGAATACAAATTTAATTATGTTTTAATTTGCTGATGACAAAATCGATATTAGTGCCAATGTAAACTATATTCAAAGATCTAATTACAACTTTGGTAAGATAACCTTTACTAATAAGTTTGTTTAAAGGTTCGATGAGTTTACACGGATCACATAGTGATTTCCGCGCTTTAAGTACAATATTACCGTAAAATTTAGGATGTGAAATACCGTGTTTAATCAGTTTTCTACAGGTACAGCCACATTTACTAATCAAATCTTTGTATCTATGAAAGAATTTAGTAAAAGTTTTACGTAATTTATGGTAACGAAATCCCTGACTTAATAATTTACCAGTGATGCATTGATTACGGTCGTTAAAATCTATGACATCACTACACACATGGGCATAACGAACGAGTGAAGCATGAGTTACAGGAAACAAGTGATGGTAGGGACTCATTCTATGTTTTTTCATTAATGCCCTCTGGGGAAACTGTCCTCAACTTTCTTATCCAAAAACTTTCCCGAGCAAGTCTGTCGGCCCTTGACCAACACTTGTTGTGGTATATAGTAGTGTTGGTAAGGTTTTTGAGATCAGCTTGGGCGTGCCCAGGTGATCTCAAATGACGACTTACGGGGAGGTCGAGCTTGCAGGTGTAGTCACTTCGATGACCATTCATGCGTAGGTTGAATGGCTGTTCTGTCTCGCCAACATACTGCATGCCATATCGACACTGAAGAAGGTATACAACATTCTGGGTTTTGCAAGTTACATTGCAATATATAGTGTATACGGACCCAGCGAAGACAGGAGGTTTGAGAAAGAACTTGGATAATTTTGGGTGTTTGGCACGGATGAAATGGGAAAGGTTAGTAAAGGTGGAATTGTATGTTAAAACAAACGGAACTATGTCGCTACGCCTCTTCTGTTTGTACTGAAATAGGTCATTGCGGCTATTATTGTTAGCACGCGCAAACCCCTTAACTATGTCCCATTTCTTATAACCTCGTTTGATGAAATATCCGCGAAGTTCCTGTAACCGTTTAGTGACAGCTTCCTCAGAGGAGCAAATCCGCTTTACTCTTGAGAGCTTGACTGTACGGGATAGTTTTTGTACAGTGTTTTGGGTGACAGCTTTGGGGAGAAGGTACTGATGTTTATCTGTAGGTTTACAGTAGAGGTCTGTTGATATGACACCGTCCTTTGTAGATGTAGTTGTGTCCAAGAAAGATGTTTTAGAGTTGGAAATTTCATGTGTGAATTTTATTGACTGGGGGCGTTGTTAGCATGTTTGATAAAATCATCCAGTTTTTGTTGGGATTCAATCCATTTCATGTCAACATCATCGATGAAACGGAACCAAGACAGAGGTTTAGATGAAGATGTTGAAATGATTTGTTTCTCTAATTTCTCCATAAAAATATTGGCGTAAGACGATGCCATTTTCGTCCCCTTCGCTGTCTCTTTTATCTGAAGGTAATGTTCACCATTGAAGGTGAAATTGTTGCATTTCAGAACCAGAGTAAGCAGCTGGACTAAACATTCGGTGGGTGGTTCTAAATATATACATACGTGACACGATATAACTTTCTCCCCTTTAAGGAAGGTAAATATGTCTATGTAAAAAAAAAGATGTGATATGATTGCCAATGAGACGATTCTCCGCCAGAAACCAAAAGAACGTAGAAACAAGCATATCTATAATACTAAAATAACGAGGTCTAATTTGTTAGCCGGCATGACGTAAAATCGACGGATCAAAGAATTCAACTTGATAAATAACTAATATAGGACAATGGTGTTGATTAAAACCGCATAATGAATATTACCAATAATTAACAAGTTCCGGGTCGAATCCGACACCGATACCGATACAAATAGTATATGTATGTCACCTGTTACTGATACCTAATATGTACGTTCCGCCCCTGTCAGGCGCACCACAAAACAGTGTATTTGGGATACATACGGGTCATAATCACACATGCAATTCGTTATTATACAGGGATTAATACTACTAAATTCAATCATTGTCACATGAAATTTCCAGTCGTAGTACGAAAACCAGGACGGGTTCAAAAAGATCTTGAAAGCAGAGAAAACTATGCACCTTATAACCAGCACGACTTTATCAGATGACAATACGAATACTAAAAATCCAGGCTTAAAATAAGGCGTAGTTACATTTATTCAGTCACGGATCCGCGAT